AGAATCGGAGAGCCATGAGTGCGTTTTTGTATATATGCAACACGCGCTTGTTGTAAAGGTCGCGGTTGTCGGTGGCGCACTCAAGCGGATCGCTCTTCTCCCACTGGATCCAGTTCTTCCACAGCTTGACCTGGTTCATATATTCCTCGTAGCCGTCGAAACCGGCAGCCGGGGGCAGCTTGGGTAGTGTAGTTCGGACGACGCCCCTCGTGATGTTGTTGTCAAGCACATTGATGGCGCTTCGAGCAGTCATGTAGCCGGGTGAGGTCTCTTGGAGATGCTTGCGGCCCTGTCGTGTGTTAGAGTCGGTGGACGAAGAGGGCGAATGTGAATGAACATACCGAGATCCTGTTGATGTTCATCTCGAACTTGTCATACTCTCGCCAGATCTCCAAAGTAGCATTGTGGGGTACCGAGACGGCTCGCTGGTAGACTTTCCTCAATGTGTCCATCTTCTGCATGTCCTGCCAGTTGGTGCCACCAAGAACACCGGGCCCCGTCTTCAACATCTCAATGTAATCAAGCCAGAGCTTTCCAGCTTGGACATCAAGACCAACGTAACCAAGCACAAACTCGTAAGCCTGGGTGACAGTCTGGCGGTTCTGGCCACTCTGGTCCGTAGTCAAGTTGAAGCGACGGCGGATGAAGTCGATGTAAGCGGAGTAGATGCCGAGATACTGCGCCAGGGGAATGGAGCGACCGAAGAGGTGCTCGACCTTTGGCAGTTCGTCGAGCTCGGTTTCAAAGGCAATGTACTCGACCCATTGCTCGCCCTGGGCCTGTTAGCGAATCGCATGCGACCCGGATCGTCCTGCTTACCGATGAAGGGAAAACCTTGAGGAAGCGTTCAAAGACTGCTCGCGCCTCGTCATGCTTGTGTCGCCTGCGGTGCTCCTCAATTAGACTCAGCCACGCTTCGATGTCACCACGCGGATCTTCAGCAATGCGATCTTCGAGGATACCAACCCGATCCTGTGGAAGACGCGCCTTTGGCAGCATAGCAGACGCAGGCGCAGGAGCAGGAGTAGCTGGCGCTGCGGACTGGCGGGCTGAAAGCGTCATGACGTCGGGAGCACCTGGCTTAGTAGCGTCTGGAACGGGAGTACTGCCATTAGGGTGAGAAGCAACAGAGAGAGCAGGCTCATTGACAGCGACAGAAGCAGAAATAGATGCAGGAGCCTGATCTTGTGCACTATGTAACTGTACATCTGGGTTGGGTAGTGTATTGTTTGAGGTGTTTGTAAAGAATGGCTGAGGAGACTCTGTAGCTCCCGACGCCCTCAGCGTAGCACTCGCCTCAGGTGGCTGCACCGCGGGCGCCTCTTCCTCATCCTCGCTCTCGTCGACAAAACCACCGACAGTGCGCGGCCGCTTGGACGGCGTCGGCGCTGCGGACGTGTCTGCAGATGGTTGCGTGGGCTGCGGCTTCAGCCCGTTCTCGCCATCCGTGTCCGCGGCGGGCGGCGAGTTTGCGGCAGACTCTGGCTGCATCGAGGCCGAGTGGCCAGATGGTGGCGAGTATGAGGTAGCGGGGTCATATTCCTCTTGGTCGACAGGCGCTTCCGTCATGGTGTAGCCGGCTGTCGGGTCGTACTCGTCCGTTTGCGCCGCCAGGAAGGCGCGCTCAGCATCGTCCGCCATAGCTGGGGTCGCGTGAGGACTGTGGATCGTGTCAGAGTTGGTGGTGGTGTGCGAAGTAGTGAGGGTAGTGGATTACGATTTGCGATCAAGGTGAGGGTGGGAGACAATGGATCTCTTTGTCGCGTGCTTGGTGTCTGGGAGGTGCGCAACAGAGCGGAAGGTGCGCTGGGCCTTGGACTATCGTTCGGCAAGTGCGAGTGTCGCGCAGGCTGTAGAAAACCCAAGATGCGCCCTTTGGGAGATGAAGCGCGGTTCCTCGTGGTGGTATGCACGCCGTGTCGTGAGATGGAGAGAACCAAAAGGTAGCTCTGCGGGCTTCCGTCGGAGTCTGCACGTGACATCCAGGTCTGTGCTTGGCGCTAGCCCTCGCGCTCCAACGGCGATGTCATAGCTCAGTGCTCAGGTACCAACACTGACACCACCGAACCCGAGCTCATCACGACATTCACCAGAGTAGGCGATTCACGTCCACCCTTTTCATGATGGAAATTTGGCATCTGCGGTGACCCCACTACTCTAGACGCGCATCTTAAACCTCACGCTCGGCATCGCGCATAGTCAGCAGTCAGCATGAATCCACACATATCACTGCCCCGGCCAACGGGCGGGCCCTCCAACTTCGGCTCCACGTCGTCATCACGGCGGAATGAAATCAAAATGCCGCGCTTCTTCAAGCGCATGTTCAAGTTTCCGCAGATGGACTTTGAGATGGCCATATGGGAGATTATGAGCCTGATTATAGCCCCGAAGAAGGTCTTTCGGCAGATATACTACCATGTATGTCCTACTTCGCTGTATCCTGAGCGCCCCTGACAGCTGTAGAAACAAACGACCAAAACATACCACCGACCCGACCCATCCTTTACCTATCTGCTCTCCTTCTTCCTCACCCTAACCTCCCTCGCATGGGGCTTCGCATACGCCGACGGGTTTACGCAGACCGTCCACATAACCCTCGTATTCATATTCGGCCACTTTCTGCTGCTTTCCCTCGTGACAGCGACGCTCTTCTTCTTTCTGGTTGGCCGGTTATTAGGGCCCGGAAACTCATTGCTACCCGGGCGGCGAAGAGGACTGTACAATCTTGGAGACGACAGCGGGAAGGAAGAGCTGGAGTTTGGATACTGCTGGGACGTGGCAATACGCGCATTCGTGCCCGTCTGGGTATTTCTCTACGTAGTGCAGTTCCTCTGCATGCCACTCATCGGGACGAATCATTGGTAAGAACGGAAGTGACCTTGATATAGCTTTGCTCACACACGCAGGCTCTCGCTCCTCTTATCGAACACGCTGTACCTGCTCGGGCTGAACTACTACTTCATCATCACCTTCCTCGGCTATAATGCGCTACCCTTCCTCCACCACACAGAGCTGTTGCTGGTACCGGTCGCCGTCACGGCCATATTGTGGTTTGCCTCGTTGTTTGGCTTCAACATGACGACACATTTCGCGCCAGTGTTATGGGCGGGTGCTCGGTTGCGGAAGCACACTTAGACGCTGGGTGGAAGAGGAGGAAGACTCTATAAGCAGGCATGTATAGCAACAAACCACGATGGCACTGTTCGATTTGATGGCTTCTTGGCGCTTGTACAGAAAGAGGACATTGCCATCATGGGGCATATTTCATACCAGGGCGTTGGGCGATTCCCCGGACTTTGGACAGTAGTCGTAGCATTTCAGCGAGTGCAAGCAAATTCATTGCATATCACATCCACCAAGCTACATACAAGCGTCAAAAAATAGCAACTCGGCCACGGAAGTCTCAGAATTGTGCTCTCCCACCGTATTCAATCCTATTTTCAACACTCGACTTACCAAAAAGGTCAAATCGTCCGCCACGTCCGCTACTAGAGCAAAAAACAAAACCCAAAAAGACATATGTAACCTCTCAAGCGGGGAATCTACACCACATTCAGTCAGCTCTCCGAGTCGACTATACACACCCTCCAATTTTCCTTTCAATTCAAGAAACACTTACCGAACCCCGGCCTCCCGCGACATTGTACAATTTTTTTTTTGGTTTGATTTCATTGACAAGCGGAAATACTGACCACTATACTACTCGAGATGTTGGGTTGGTTTGATGAGTAAGCTGGTTGGGGTTTGGGTATATATACGGTGGTTTGTTTTGGGTTGGGGCGGATGATGGGGTGGAGTTGGGCTGGGGAGATGGCGGTGGCGGTGGCGGTGAGAAGTTTTACAGGTGGGTGGATGGGTGGAGACATTGGGTGGTCTTTTTTGTATTAGTGGTAGTGGAGTATGGAGATAGGCGTTTTCGGTATCGACAAGTCTTTGCTCTGTAGGGAAGGTAATGACTGTGACATTCGCATATTTGCTTCTCTCCTTTCTTGGGGTTCTTTTTGTTTGCGACTGGGTTGGTGGTTAGGGTTCTTGCTACTGTATGCTTGGTAGGGAGGAAACATTTGTATTATGATGGCGGTTCGAGTTTCCTATCTTATAGGAAAGAGCAAGGCAATGCAAAGATACGAGACGAAAAGTGAACAGTCTTAGAGGTAAGAATAGCGCTTAGTTTTGGGGCAGTGAAACAGTGATCCTAGTTTAGGTAAGCTTCCCAGGGGAAGAAGAAAAGACCTACCTACCAGAACCGCCGTCCTACCAATATATAACCGCAGCAAAATGACAGGCTTCTAGCTCTAGGTCGTCTATCCACTCATCATCCTCACAGCCTCCAGACAAGCTGTCTGCAGCAAAAGACCCAACACGAAAAACTCGCGCATGCAAGTAACACAATACGTACACCCGCACCGAACTTCACCAGTCCCGGGACTGTCTCCCATTCCAGAGAATACCCCCAACCGTACATGCCATGTTCTGCATCAACAACATAATACCAATTAAGCTCCACCACTCTAGCACAAAAAAGCCAAGTAAGTGACAACGAGACAGTTACAATCCCCAAGAACAGCCTCAACTTGAACAACCCCTAGACACAAAAGAACGCATACAATGCTTGTGTGATATTCGTATATTAAGCCCTACCTAACTAAGCTAAGGAGACATGGATATGTGCGAGATGTCTCGTGAAAGAAGCGAGATTCGTATATAAGCTAGGTAATTAGCGCTAAGAAAAAAGGACGTAAAAGAGCTGTGAAAAGAAAATACCGCAAAGACTCGAACCCAACAATAACATCAAACTAGAGCATTAAGAACAGCTGTTTAAAATTTAGCATCAAGATATAGCGTAGCGCAACCCCTCATACAAAATAGCATAGCATAAGAATTAGATAAATACGCGGAAAAAGTAGTAACCATACCCATACACATAGGTGTCTCTCTCTACCTCTCCACAGGTAAATCGCACAACCCCCACCACAAAAAGTCCAGCCCAGGAAAAAAAACGATGCGGAGGAGATTCGAACTCCTGCGTCCGAAGACATATGATATCGTTATACGTTCCAGAATTCGAGTCATACCCATTAACCACTCTGGCACCGCACCTTAAGTTTTCATGATCGATGAGAACATTTCTAAAATTTACAAATATAATCTAAATTATAAAACGGCGCGGTAGCAGGTGGGTGGGTATGGTCAGGGAGGGGGTGGGGTGAGGTCGGAAGTTTCTGATTTGATAGGTGGATAAGCGCGGCGAATCAAAGTCGTTTCTTTTGCTTTCGGTTTGCACCAACCACGGCAGCGCAGTCATAGCAATAGCGATGGATGGAATAACACTTATGCCAAACGAACGTACGCATGCATGCATGCAGGGCAATCAATGTGTTTGTTTTGCGGTACCGCTATGCTTTTGCTAGCGAAAGGTAGGTAGTCGGTAGGTATACAGATGCATATGAATAGTTACTTGATTCTTCCACTCCAAAAAAGCTCACTCCAAAAATTCAAAAAATTGTTCAGTTGTTGTATTACAGTATTAGTTTACTCTATAGTAAACATGTAGCTACCTATATGCGGCAGCTACTCCCTTCTTCTAGACTCCCCTTGTTCTCTTGCCGTTTTAGCAAGAAGAACAAACCCAAGCCCAGTATTACAATATTCCTTCCAATGCAACTCCATTAACGCCTCGTTATGCCAATTTCTCCCCTTCCCTACCACTCGTTCGGATATCGATTTCATTGCCAAAACCGACTCACTTCGTCGAACTTGAGCCTTGAGTCGGCGGTAGGACTCTTCTTCGTCTCCACAACGGATTCCTCCATGCCCCAGCGTTCAAGCTCCTCTTGGCTATCTGTCCACTCGTCCTCGGAGGCAGACGCAGACGCTGAAACCGAGGCGGTAGTGGACGTTGAAGCGGATGTTTGAGTGGGGTGTAGCAGTGCTGGTGTGGGCTGGACTGCTGGTGTGTTTGAGCAGAGCTCAGTGCATGAGTAGAGGGCTTGTCGTTGGGCGCGGCAGTGGCCGATGGTGTGGTCGTGTGCGTTTGTTGCGCAGACTGCGGTGGTGTTGGTGGTGCTCATGATTGGATGAGGTTCAGCACAGTGTTCGCACGCGTAGTAGAGTGCTTGTCGTTGTGCGCGGCAATGGCCGATTGTGTGGTCGTGTGTGTTTGTTGGGATGGCTGTGATGATGGTGGTTGTTGTTGGTGTTGCAGTCATCGGATGTGGTGCGATAGTAATGTTCTTGGTGTATGTGTTGTTGATGATGGTCGTTTGGTGCGATGTCAATGTTCGATGTTGTTGTATTGATGTGGATGGGTGGGTGTTAATGCGACGGCTGGAAGAGTTATATGGGATGGGAACGGTGAGTGGGACGGAACGTGCTAGTCTCGATATCGTGTTGCATTGGGACACATTTGCAAAGTTACGAGGTCACTCTGGAGATTGTGTGGTTTGTGGCGCCATTGTTATCGCATAAGCGTGGGTGGCGATCATTATTGGTGGCAGGTGGTGAGATCGAGCGGATGTGGTGTGACCTTTTCTTTTAGCCTCACGCGGCACCACGGAAGCGGAACGCAGCGACGAAGCCTCGCCTGCCACGACCCAGCGTGCTAAGATCGAATGATGTTATTATTTAAACTAGACGCCGGGAAGTATGCCGAGAAGTGCGCAAGTGTGGGTATCTAGACGGAAAGGAAACACCAGAGAGAACGAGAAAAAACAATACAGGAAGCAGAGAGGCAAGCTCGGAAATATCCGGTCGCATCACGCGTCGTAATCAGTGCGTTAAGAGTCTGACACTGGAGGTGACGGTGGCTGCGCAGTGTCCAGATATTGCCTCTTCGCATCGGGTAACTCGTCCAAGCCTTCGTGTGCACGTTTTGGAGATCTGCGGTCTGAAGCAACTTCGGTCGAGTGCGGGAACGTGATCTCATCGACCCTCCTCTGCGACGTTTGCTGCGACTCCCGCTCGCGCTTTTTCTTGGTAATCACCCTCTTCCACTGGGCAATAACACGCATAATGGAAGCCACGCGCTCAAAGTGCGACGTCGGTGGTGCAGGCTCGATGTCCATCCAATCGATCCTCCGGAGGCCTACCAGTGCCTTGTTGCCAAACGCCTTTGAAAGTAATCGGGTCATGAACTCAATTTGCTCCTGGCTGAGAGACGAGTCCCGCAGTCCAAAACGCAGGGTTAAGTAGCCCTTGGGCTTGGGCCGGTGGCGTGGCTGGTGTAAGGCATTCGACTTCTTGGATTTGAGAGGAGCTAGGAAGATATGCGGCTCGTTATAGTGGGTGCGCTTGCCGCGAGACCACAGCTGTGAGGGAGTGTCTTTACGCCTAGAGTCTCTGTTGATGTCCTGGAACAAGCGAAAGGTGGAAATGGGCTGCTCTGGTTCCTTATCGAGCGCTACAGTGATGGCGTCGATGAGCGCGCGGGTGTAGGAATTGTCGCCAGGCGCTTCGGTGGTTTGATCGATTGAGCATGCACTCAAGAGCTCGAAGATCTTCTGCCCGTCCCTGCCCGATTTGACAAAGTTGCTCGAGTAGCATGTGTCCAGTATGGTCAGCACATCGCCCTCTACGTCTTCGCGGCGGAGCTGATCTTCTGCCTGGTTCCAAGTGGCGCGAGCATTCCTGCGGAAGCCAAGGTGCAGCAAGGGGTTGTTCTTGAGACTCCCCGTGAGCTCCAGACACTTCCGCCTGTCGTCGTAGACACCATGCCCCGTGTAGTATACAATGAGCAGATTGTCGGGGCCGTCGTGCTCGCAGATGAACTCGCTGACGTAATTGTTGAGCTGGTGCTGTGGTTTCTTCCCCACGTTCAATTCCACGATCTTGGTCTCGTAGTGAAAGCGATCGCGGAAGAGGGTGTCAAGTTCTCGGGCCTAGCGGTGGGTCAGTTGAGTTGGTGAGACTCTCGGACGCGCCTTCCTCTCCAACGCACCTCGTCCCCGGTGTTCAGCTCGTCCAGCTCGGGCGCCCATTTGATCAGAAGTACTGCGACCTTGGAGTAGCCCTCCGGCAGGTCCATATTCCGCGCCATGGCTTCGGCCCACCAGTTCTGCATCTCCGCAGCCCTGTCCTGGTACTCGACGTCTGCCGCACTTGGCTTGCTCTCCACCACCGGCTCAGGCTCGTCGCTTTGCGGGGGAAACCCATCTTGCCTTCGATCCTCCTCCACACCCTGGATCCGTATGTCGGCATGGATTACTTTGTTAGGGTACGGGTTCACGATGCGAGGAGCCATCTCAGGGGCCATGGTGTCCACGACGTGCGCCGCTGTGCTCGAGGAAAGAGCCATTGGTCACGGAATGTGCGAGTCTACAAGGCTGGAGGAGTTCGCAGGAGCAGGCCATGATGAACGATGGAGTTCACACCAACTTTCAGCCCCCATATTGAATGGGACGCAACACGGCTGGGGGAAGGCAGATCGCAAGGCGCAGCCAATCAGCGTTTCGCGGCCATTGCAGTCTCACCATGTGGGGGCCGAAAGCTGAGCCTCCACCATGCCGAAGTCACAGCAGTTTACGGCTGTGCAAGCTCACCTAGATATGGGCCTGCATCACATTTGGGGACCGGTCACGACCCGATGCTGCATACGGCTGCAGGGCTGCGTCTAGGAGGCCAGCAACAAGGTCCAGTATAATATCAGACATCCTCCTTGTCCCCCAGGGCATCACCCACAAGGCTATTCTGCCTCACTCCTCAAATCTCTCCTCACCATGGCTACCACTGCAGTCGAAGATCAGCCTGTCCAGGCCGCCGAGGTGAGTTGTTCAATCCTATAGCTGAGACCTCTGCCGCATACGGCTGACCACTCGCCACAGTGCGAGTATATCGCGGAAGATGCAAGACCCGAGACCAAGGCCGACGTCCGCATTAACGATGAAGACCCCGCTTTGGTAGGTCCCATGGATTCCAGCTGCAGACCACATGTCCTAACAATGTTGCAGTCACGCGCGCGCTTTAAGAAGGGCGATGTCGTTCAAATGCCAGTCGTCTGCAATGGGATTCGATCGAAAGGTGTCTATACCGTCTACGATCGCAGACTGAGCAAGAAGGGTTGGTTCGAATACCAGCTCAAGGACGTCTACACGCTGAAAGTGGACCGTTCCTGGACGCGCGAGAATGTGTTGAAGCCCGGCAAGTGAGCAGTACGACATTAACATGTGGCTGTGTTCACCGGAAAGTCACCAGGCAGCTGTGATGGAGACGGCGCAGCCAATCGTGGAAGAGGCGTTCCGGCGTTGGGGGGCTGAGTCTTAGCGAGTCTTACGGAGATGGGCGATCGTCTTCACAACCTCAATCTTTCTTTCAGCTACATAGACTTCTTTACCGCCACAGTATGTTGAGCCACAGTTCTTCTTAATTCTAACGTGATTGCCGGTTGCTTGTGCACAAAATTTCTCGTCTTCTCTCTGTCGTTTCTTTATGTGTGGGTCGCGCTTACCCTCGTCATGACCCCTCCTCGTACAATGACTGGGGAAACCTTCACCGATGAGAAAACACCTCAATCACCAGCCTCGCCGACAAACACAGACTCGACATTGACGGGCGATGCCTTCATTGAGATTGCGGATGACTGTCATTCTACCGTTCGCCCTTCGGTGCGGACAGATTCATCGATTGATGTAGAGAGCGCACAGCCTGGTAGGTGATCCCTCGCAGTTATTTTGGCCCCCAAACAAAATCCATCATTAAACCTAGCCCCAAATATATCGAGGCATGACAGATAGGAAGATATACTCTCCTCAGCTCTCGCATGCGTGACATGGCTATGAGCATTCAAAGCAGCATACGTTATTGGGGGCTGCAAGTTTGCATGGGAGTGAGCCGACACTAACGAAGCTCCAGAGAACGAAAAGAGGCGCCCCAAGATTTTGCATCGAATCACAAGTTCCTTTCGATCGGAGCCCGAACCTGAGTTTGTGACCGAAACCAGGACAAGAAAACGTGAGGTTATTCCGCATTTCCCAGCCGCTCGTCACTCATAGTTGTCAGTCGAAGATACTCCAAATGGCTTCCCAAGGCTCGCAGCGTTCCAATCAAGCGAGCCAAACTTCTCACTATATCGATCATTCAGCTACCTGCACTCCCGTATCTTGCTT